TTGTTCTCCAATGCCATATCATTCTATAGAAGAATCGATGAAAACCCGCATGCTCACATTGCGCGGTTCGTGAAAAATGTTAGTAACTTCAATTATGAAGGTACAAGTGTGGAGGCTATCCGGATGAGGCTATTTGTACATACTTTGAAAGGTAGGGCGAGAGAATGGCTTGACACTTTAGCGTCGAGAAGCATCATGAGTTGGGTGAAGTTGGTACAAAAATTCATGACCAAGTTCTTTCCACCTGCTTGTGTGGCTAAGCTCAAGCACGGTATGGCCATCTTCCAACAACTTGACACAAAAAGCTTTCATGAGGCTTGGAAGAGGTTTAAAGATATGCTTAGAAAGTCCAAATCATGGGATCACTATAGCACAAGAAGTCTAATATTTCTATGCTGGTTTGACTTCTTCTTGCCGTACAAATGTAGATTCATCTTCAAATGGGTCAATCCATAATAATAGCAACCGAGAAGCATATGATCTACCAGATATGGGTCCACAAAGAAGAGTCGGTGTAGTTTGAGATGTGAAGCCTTTTTAATGGTTCTAGCAAAGATTGACTCACTAGCAAAAAAGGAATAAGTACTTTCTACATCTACCTTTAGCTCTCATTCCACCCATATGATACAATCTCTGCCTGTTTGTGATATTTGTGGAACAAAATACCCAATTCTGAGTTGTCCATTAATAGTTAGTAGTTTGGCATCCACCGAGCAAGTGGCATACGCTCCAATTTTTCAACGCCAAAGGTACAATCTTTACTCTCAAACTTATAACCCTGGTTAACGAAATCATCCAATTTTCTCTTATGGAAACAATCAACATGTGCTAAATCCAAGGCCACAAGAGAAAAATGAAGGTTGGAAAGAGGCCATTGCTAAGTTGATGAACCATCAATTGCAATATCAATAACGCAATGATGGCTGTTTGGAAAAATTAGAACGTCAAGTAGGGGCAAATTGCCAAGTTTCTCTCCGAAAGGCAACAAGGAAGATGAAAAGAGCCATCAACATCAAAGGCTCCAACATAAGTTAGATGCCCAATTTGGTAATTTTTGGAAGTGTTAAAAAAGCTACACATAAACATTTCATTTGCTGATGCTTTAGCTCAAATTTCGAGTTATGCAAAATTCATGAAGGATATTCTTTCGAAGAAAAGAAAATTTGAAGAGCATGAGACGATGATGCTAATGAAAGAATATAGTGCTATTCTATAAAACAAATTGCCTCTAAAAATTAAAGATCTAGGGAGTTTTACTATTATATGCACTATTGTGATTTAAATTCTAGTAAAGCTTTATGTGATCTTGGTGGAGCATTATTTTAATGTCTTTGTCAATTTTCAAGAAATTAGGCTTGGGAGAGGCCAAGGCAACCACCATATCCTTGCAATTGCCCGATAGATATATCAAGTATCCTAAGCGTGAAATTGAAGATGTCCTAGTTTAAGTAACAAATTCATCTTCCTGGCTGACTTTATTTCTATTGACATGGAGGAGGACCATGACATCCCTATTATCTTGGGATGATCATTTCTCGCTATTGGTTAGGAGGCTTTGATTAACGTGCAATAGTAGCAACTCATCTTAAGGGTCCAAGATGAGCAAGTTACTTTCAATATTTTGAAGGTTATCAAGTACCCATCAAAATCTGATTCATGCCTTCGAGTGAATGTTGTTGATAATGTGGTAACCGATTCTCTTTACTGGCTTTCTAATAATCCTCTTGAAACATGTCTTGTACGTCCTTCAGATACCAAAGATGGGGATTCTGAAATTGAGCACATGGCACAATATTTGGGTGCTATACCTTCTTGCTTACCAGAGGGTGCCATATTTTGAGGATATGAAAAAGAACTCTTCACTACCACTATCATCTCTTCAACACGTACCTACACTTGAATTAAAGCCTCTTCCATTTGAGGTATGCCTATTTGGGAGATCATTTACACTTTTCGTTATTATTTCCAATTTCTTATGTGAGTTGGAGGAAGAGAAGTTACTTCGAGTGTTGAGGGAACAAAAGGAGGCCATTGGTTGGACTATTGCAGATATTCGAGGGGATTACCCCTTCATTATGCATGCACAAAATCCTTATGGAGGATGATTTTAAACCATCAGTGGAGCATCAAACGTGGTTGAATTCGATTGTGAAAGAAATGGTGAGAGCCAAGATGGTAAAGTGGCTTGATACTGGCATCATTTATCCAATTTCAGATAGTTCATGGTGAGCCTAGTTCAAGTAGTGCCAAAAAAAGAGGTGTCACAAAAGTGGAAAATAAGGATAATGAACTTATACCTACTAGACCCGTGATAGAGAGTATGCATTGATTACCGTAAGCTTAACAACGCTACTAGAAAGGATCACTTTCATCTTCATTCCATTGATCAAATGCTTGAGCGGCTGGCAAGGTATTATCATTATTGCTTTTTGATGGGTATTCAGGCTATAATCAAATTCTAATAGCCTCAGAGGATTAGAAGAAACCTATATTTGGTACATTTGCATATAAAAGAATGTCTTTCGTTCTTTATAATATACCCGCCACTTTCTAAAAGTGCATGATGGCTATCTTTTCCGATTTGGTGAAAAAATGTATTGGAGTGTTCATGGATGATTTCTCAGTTTTTGGGGTCTCATTTGATGAATGCTTGAGCAACTTGGGGATGGTGTTAAAGATGTGTGAAGAAACTAATTGGTATTTAATTGGGAAAAATGTCATTTCATGGTTCAAGAGGGCATAGTACTTGGCCACCAAATTTCACAGAAAGGGACTGAGGTTGACAAGGTCAAAATCAAAATGATCGAAAGGTTACCTCTACCAACTTCAGTAAAAGGTGTACGAATCTTCTTGGGACATGCCGAATTTCATAGGAGGTTTATCAAGTATTTTTCAAAGATTACAAAACCATTCTGCTTTTTACTTGAGAAGAACACTCCATTTGACTTTTCTCAAGAATGTATTTAAGCTTTCAATACTTTTTAAAAGAAAACTCATCACGGCGCCTATTATTGTAACCCCGAATTGGATCTTCCTTTCGAGCTTGTGTTTTCGAGCTTGTGTGTGACGCGAATGACTACGTCAATGGAGCAGTTTTAGGACAACTGACAGATAAAATTTTGTATGTCATCTACTATGCTAGCCAGAACTTAACTGATGCTCAATTGAATTATGCTACTATTGAAAAAGAGATGTCCCACAGTGGTGTTTGAATTTGATAAATTTCAATCTTACCTCATTGGTTCAAAGGTGATTATTCACACAGATTTTTTGGCCCTCAAGTATTTACTAGCAAAAACAATGCCAAGCCTCAGTTTTAGGACAAATGACAGATAAAATTTTGTATGTCATCTACTATGCTAGCCAGAACTTAACTGATGCTCAATTGAATTATGCTACTATTGAAAAAGAGATGTCCCACAGTGGTGTTTGAATTTGATAAATTTCAATCTTACCTCATTGGTTCAAAGGTGATTATTCACACAGATTTTTTGGCCCTCAAGTATTTACTAGCAAAAACAATGCCAAGCCTTGGATCTTCTTCTACAAGAGTTTGACTTGAAAATCTGTGATAAGAAAGGAACCGAAATTGTTGTATCCGATCATTTTCTAGGCTTAAGCAAGCAGAGAAACTGGTAGATAATGATGAAATAAATGAGGTATTTCCTGAAGAGTAACTTTTGCAAATCATGCATCTCCTACAAGCCACTCATACACCATGGTATACGGTCCATGTGAATTTCTTTGCTAGTGGCATCACTCTTCCAGATCTTTTTTACCAACAAAGGAAGAGGTTCTTCATTGACACCAAGCATTATTTTTTGGGAAGATTCTTTGTTATTCAAATGAGGCCAGGATCAAGTTATTCGGAGATGTGTGCCAAAAGATGAAATGGAGCAAATACTTGAACATCGTCATTCCTCTTCCTATGGTTGTCACTTTGGTGCCATGAAAACCACATCAAAGGTACTTCATTTTGGCTTATATTGGCCCATATTATTCAAGGATGCTCACACTTTGTCTCCAAGTGCGATAGATGCCAACATAGTGGTAATATCTCCAACCAAAATGAAATGCCTTTGAATTTTATATTGGAGATGGAGATTTTTGACGTGTGAGGTATTGATTTTATGTCTCTTTACTGGCTTTCTAATAATCCTCTTGAAACATGTCTTGTACGTCCTTCAGATACCAAAGATGGGGATTCTGAAATTGAGCACATGGCACAATATTTGGGTGCTATACCTTCTTGCTTACCAGAGGGTGCCATATTTTGAGGATATGAAAAAGAACTCTTCACTACCACTATCATCTCTTCAACACGTACCTACACTTGAATTAAAGCCTCTTCCATTTGAGGTATGCCTATTTGGGAGATCATTTACACTTTTCGTTATTATTTCCAATTTCTTATGTGAGTTGGAGGAAGAGAAGTTACTTCGAGTGTTGAGGGAACAAAAGGAGGCCATTGGTTGGACTATTGCAGATATTCGAGGGGATTACCCCTTCATTATGCATGCACAAAATCCTTATGGAGGATGATTTTAAACCATCAGTGGAGCATCAAACGTGGTTGAATTCGATTGTGAAAGAAATGGTGAGAGCCAAGATGGTAAAGTGGCTTGATACTGGCATCATTTATCCAATTTCAGATAGTTCATGGTGAGCCTAGTTCAAGTAGTGCCAAAAAAAGAGGTGTCACAAAAGTGGAAAATGAGGATAATGAACTTATACCTACTAGACCCGTGATAGAGAGTATGCATTGATTACCGTAAGCTTAACAACACTACTAGAAAGGATCACTTTCATCTTTATTCCATTGATCAAATGCTTGAGCGGCTGGCAAGGTATTATCATTATTGCTTTTTGATGGGTATTCAGGCTATAATCAAATTCTAATAGCCTCAGAGGATTAGAAGAAACCTATATTTGGTACATTTGCATATAAAAGAATGTCTTTCGTTCTTTATAATATACCCGCCACTTTCTAAAAGTGCATGATGGCTATCTTTTCCGATTTGGTGAAAAAATGTATTGGAGTGTTCATGGATGATTTCTCAGTTTTTGGGGTCTCATTTGATGAATGCTTGAGCAACTTGGGGATGGTGTTAAAGATGTGTGAAGAAACTAATTGGTATTTAATTGGGAAAAATGTCATTTCATGGTTCAAGAGGGCATAGTACTTGGCCACCAAATTTCACAGAAAGGGACTGAGGTTGACAAGGTCAAAATCAAAATGATCGAAAGGTTACCTCTACCAACTTCAGTAAAAGGTGTACGAATCTTCTTGGGACATGCCGAATTTCATAGGAGGTTTATCAAGTATTTTTCAAAGATTACAAAACCATTCTGCTTTTTACTTGAGAAGAACACTCCATTTGACTTTTCTCAAGAATGTATTTAAGCTTTCAATACTTTTTAAAAGAAAACTCATCACGGCGCCTATTATTGTAACCCCGAATTGGATCTTCCTTTCGAGCTTGTGTTTTCGAGCTTGTGTGTGACGCGAATGACTACGTCAATGGAGCAGTTTTAGGACAACTGACAGATAAAATTTTGTATGTCATCTACTATGCTAGCCAGAACTTAACTGATGCTCAATTGAATTATGCTACTATTGAAAAAGAGATGTCCCACAGTGGTGTTTGAATTTGATAAATTTCAATCTTACCTCATTGGTTCAAAGGTGATTATTCACACAGATTTTTTGGCCCTCAAGTATTTACTAGCAAAAACAATGCCAAGCCTCAGTTGGTTCGATTGGATCTTCTTCTACAAGAGTTTGACTTGAAAATCTGTGATAAGAAAGGAACCGAAATTGTTGTATCCGATCATTTTCTAGGCTTAAGCAAGCAGAGAAACTGGTAGATAATGATGAAATAAATGAGGTATTTCCTGAAGAGTAACTTTTGCAAATCATGCATCTCCTACAAGCCACTCATACACCATGGTATACGGTCCATGTGAATTTCTTTGCTAGTGGCATCACTCTTCCAGATCTTTTTTACCAACAAAGGAAGAGGTTCTTCATTGACACCAAGCATTATTTTTTGGGAAGATTCTTTGTTATTCAAATGAGGCTAGGATCAAGTTATTCGGAGATGTGTGCCAAAAGATGAAATGGAGCAAATACTTGAACATCGTCATTCATCTTCCTATGGTTGTCACTTTGGTGCCATGAAAACCACATCAAAGGTACTTCATTTTGGCTTATATTGGCCCATATTATTCAAGGATGCTCACACTTTGTCTCCAAGTGCGATAGATGCCAACATAGTGGTAATATCTCCAACCAAAATGAAATGCCTTTGAATTTTATATTGGAGATGGAGATTTTTGACGTGTGAGGTATTGATTTTATGGGGTCATTTCTTTCTTCATTCTCAAATCAATACATATTGATGGTGGTCGATTAGGTGTCAAAGTGGTTAGAAACGATGGCTTTGCCCACTAATGATGCTCAGGTGGTGATAAACATTTTAACGAAAAATATTTTCTCTCGCTATGGCACCCTCGAGTTATCATTAGAGATGGAGGTAAATATTTTTGCAATTGCCTCTTCAACTTACTATTGACAAAATATGGAGCGAAGCATCGTGTGGCCATCCCTTATCATCCCCAAACTAGTGGCCAAGCTGAGATATCAAACAGGGAGTTGAAGACAATTCTAGAGTTAACTGTAAGTGCCTCGAGAAAAGATTGGTCTAAGAAATTGGGATGATGCATTATGGGTTTATCGCACCGCTTTCAAACCCCCAATTGGTACGTCTCTTTATAGCCTTTAATTGCGAAAGATTGTCATCTCCCGGTTAAACTCGAGCAACATGCTTATTGGGCAATTAAAACATTAAATTTTGATGAGAAATTAGCCGATGAGAAACGATTGCTTCAATTGAATGAACTTGATGTGTTCCACCTAGATTTATATGAGAATGCTCAAATTCACAAGGAAAAGACAAAGAAATAGCATGACAATCACATTTTGAAAAAAAAGAGTGTTTTATTGGGCAATAAGTTGTTCTCTACAATTCTCAACTCTGATTGTTCCCCGAAAAGCTCCGCTCAAGATGGTTGGGTCCTTTCACCATCGCTAAAATCTTTCAACATGAGGCGGTTGAACGGTTGAAAGAGAAGTCATACTATGGAGGTGATTTTTCGAAAGAGAAGTCATCCATTCTTCTTGCCAACTCGGAGTGATCAAGACCTATGTCAAGCTAAAGACTTTAAAATAAGCGCTTGTTGGGAGGTAACCCAATTTTCTTACCCTCATACTTTTTTTTATATATACTTGTGCTTAATACTTTTGTTGTTGCATTTTTGAATTAATACCATTCTTTTGTAGGTTAAAAAGTCCTAGCCACCCATGGATCTCAACAAGTTTGAGGGTGCATTTTGTACGAGGTTATGAGCCAAAAATTCATTGCAAGCATCTTTCAACAAACATTCGATCGGGGAAGTGTTGTCAACCCTCCTTCCTTATTTTTAGATCCTTCTTGTACATATTGAGGACAATATGTAATTTAAGTTTGGGGGTGTTGATGAGACATTGTTCTTATAAATTGTGCTTATATTGGTGTTGGTATTGACGTGTTAGATAGCCTTGGCGACTTTTCATGATTTGATGTTTGTTAAAATTGTTATTATTTCATAAGTTATTCCCAACCATGCTATTTGTCTCAATCTTGAAAATTTACTTGTCCATGTGGTTCTTATGTTACTTTGAGCATAATAGTCATGATTGATTGTTGTCTAGATGTGCAAATGGTTAATTGATGAAAAAAATTATGAATTGAAAGAACCAAGTTGTGAGTTATACATAAACTTCTATTTACATACATTCTATTCTCTATCACTCCACCATTTTATGATATAAGTATTGGGAGGTTGAGTTGGTGAAAAATATTCTCTAGAAGTGTATTTATGCCATGCATATTGAAAATATTTGTATGGATTGTCTTTTGCCAATTATAAGTTAGGTAATAACAATATGCTAGGGATCTAAGCCCTATCTGTTAAATTGGGCTTAAAAGAATGCATTGGACTTGTTTAATATTAAGCCTCACTTCTTAGCTTTTTTACTTGAGTTATTAAATCCGTAGGGATATCTCAAAAATCGGTACCCTTTGGTCTAAACAACTAGGGAGTTATCGACCTATAGTTCACTACGGAGGCAAAAAAGAAAGCTTAAGGGAGTGAGGTAAAACATGATATTCGATTAAAAAAATGATTTGATACACTTGTAATTGATGTTAGAGCTTTGATAACTAGTGCACTTAAATTACTTAGTATAAGCTTAAATGTCAAAGCACTCATCTAGTGGAGAATTTTCACATGACAAGATATTGAAATTGTTGATTAGACCCAACCGAACTAGAGCTGGAAAGGAAAAGAGTTATGCAAAAACAACATTTAGATTTATACCCAAAGAAAATGAATAGCCATTTGAGGAGTGTAAATTTTATAAGCAAAAAAGGAAATATTTGATCATAAAGGATCAGGTTGGAGCCAATTTGAAGATTTTTCCATCTTGACAACTTCTCCATAATTTAGATGATAATTGAAAATGATTATGCACACATACACATCAAACACTGGACAAGCTTAAATTATTTTTATTAGTGTTATTTGATGTATATTTGTGAATTGATTATACAATTTTACTCTCTTTGATATTTTTGACAAGCTATCTAATGTACTGATCATTATCATGTTTGCTTGATTTGTATTATAGATAATCTTACTCGGCGACGAGCAAGAACTTAAGTTTGGGAGTAATTGATAAGTGTGTTTTTGCATACTTATTTAATATCCAAATGTACTTATTATTGATGAAAAGAGGGGATGTTGACTCACAATTGGATAATTTTGGCTCTTGTAGGTCATAAATCCCAAATAGAAAAATAGGAAGGCAAAAGGGAGTGAAAAGGGACCAAAATTGTACAAAAACATAATGTAGGGACCAAAATACAGAAAGTTAAATGACCTTGGATGCAATTTATGGAGGGTTTAATTGAAAGAAAAGTTAAAAATGAGGATTAGATTGTACAAAATTAGAGTCAAGGGACCTAGTGTGCAAATATTGAAAGACCCGAGTCGTAAATTGCTAAAAATGGAATAGCACCTAGGCACCACTGTAGCGGCGCCTAGGCGCCCACTCGCTATCCACTTAAAAATTTTGGGCACCTAGGCGCCCCGGCTAGCAAGCAGGGACTTGATTTGCTGTTTTAAAAAGGTTAGGACTATTTTGTAATTTATTGAAACGACTTTTTGGGCCTTTTTAAATGTGTATTGAACCCATTCATTCCATCTATCATCCTTTTGAAAAACACAAAAAAAAAAAAAAAAAAAAAAAAAAAAAAACCATAGGCTTGAGAGAAAAAGAAGAGTGCGAAAGAAAGATGAAACACAAAGCAAGATTTGAAATTTCAAAGGAATATTTAAAATTTCAACCTTTGTTTCTTCAAGAATAAATTCAATTGACGGGTTTCTTCTATTATTTTGTATCTTTCCCTCATTTTTTTAAAGAATTTCATCTCTATTTTCATGTTCTATCTCTATTATGTAATGAGCTAAGTGTTTGAAGTTGAGATTTGTGATGTAACTTGACCTAATTTTCATTAATATCAATATATTTACCATTTATGCTAAAGTAGTTGCCATTGTTATTTTGCATTTTTTATTGTGCTCACATTTTCATCATTTATTTGGCCAATAAATAATTGGGTTTGGTGATTTGTGCAACTATTGAGAGATTATTTTGCTTTCTAGACCAAAATAATTAATGTTTTAGGTTATTTAGGAGATAAATATACTCCTAACCCTAGGTAACACATTGAATTATTTTCGCTACAATTTAATTCGGTTGGTTGTGTTTTCATCAACATAGAGATATAGTGGATAAAGCTAATCAACTAAAGTTTTTTTTTTTCACTCAAGAGAGGTAATTAACTAAAATTGAAAAATTGGGTCTAACATTGTAACTTAGTGATTTACATTTCCTGTTCATTGAGATATTAATGAAACGACGGTTAAACAATATCGTAAATCCCAACCATTTAAAATCTAAAATCTTATCACTTTCACTATTTTTATTTAATTGAATTCTAAATTTATTATTATTTTCATTTCTAACTTCAAAGATTTTAATTGTGTCTGTCTTTACCGATAATTTGAATCAGTTATTGTGTAATTGGAGGAAACACTCTTCGGAGAATCGACTCGGACTCAACATCCACTTTATTAATTGAATGCACCCATGCACTTACGACATATAATCTTAGCGAACAACCACCATGAACATAATATCCAAGGCTCCGAAACCATTTCTGTGTCTTTTCTGCAATACCCACCAAAAATTTGCTGCCAAACTACAGATTTGGCTATTTGACGTAGCAGAAGTTATAAGGAAGATGAATAAATCTCACAAAGAAGAAAACTCACGAAAAATTTTATTTCATTCAAATCAATATGCGGCCTCAAGAGGCATACAACGTATTTATAGCAAAAATCTAGAAAATTCAAAAATTAAATAATAATTAAAAAAAGATTTTTTTTTCCAAAAATGGAAAAAATCAAAATAATGACGAAAACTAATAGTCTTAACCTTCGGGATTACTCTCCAACAAAAAGAATGTAAATCTGAATTTATTTGATTGAGATATATTCAAAATAAGAATTACCAAAAAAGGAAAAAATGCCTAAACAAGGGCTTAAAACGAAAAAATTTGCCCGAAATTGGTCCTACGTCAAAGCCTTTGAGTTTAACTTTTCAGCCCGTTTCCAACCGAATTAGACTACAAATTCGTCAAAAACGGACAACTCCAGATTTCCTCCAAATTATTTTTTCTTGCACCGGTCCCACTTTGCCATGAAGTCCAATTCCTTTTGCAGCACATCACTATTCCATTCCCATAACAGCCCGCTATGAAAATTTGCTTCAGTATCACACAATTTACTTAAAAGTGAAACCAAAAACTAGTATTTCTGCATGTTCTTCTTGAGCATATCCTTGAGCAAAAAATAGTGTGGGATGTTCATTGATTTCATATTGGGAAATAAATTGTGAAACGATGTAGATAAAACAATGTAATGCAGGCCAATTGAGAAAAAACAAGTGGTACTCAAGTGCACTTTCAAGAAGCGTTGGAAAGCGGACATGAAGTTATAATTAATTGATGAATAGAGGAGTTAGAACAAAGAAATAGTGGAGGGAAATAGATTGATATGAAGGGAAACTTTTAATTCATTTGTGCAAATTAAAATATATCTCTTTTTTATAATCTTTTGTTGCCTGATTCAATAAAATCATCCCTCACAACCGAGAATTCAACATGAATCACTTAAACTGCACATGCAGGTCCATATTATGAACTTTTTAAGGTCGGAGAGCTATTAACATATTTGCCAAAGCTAAATCGCTTTTCTAGATGCAATTTCCTATACATAGCCAAGCATCTACAAGCGAGAAAATTTAGCCATTGTTTGAGCCATATTATTTTTCTTAAAATGCATTTTTAAATAGTGTATATATATTGATGGAAAATGTGTGGCTAAAAAATAAAGAAAAAGTTTTGAATTTACGTGTAATATTATTTTATTATAGAATGTGTAGTTGAAATGACGTCAAATTACTGTTTAAGAATGTATTTTTTTGAAAAAAATGTGGTTCAAACATGGCATTAACTTAACCTATAAAGCCAAAAATCTCTCCACTTATTGGCGAAATCCGACCATCTTCAAGCTCCACCTTCACCTTCTCAATGCAAAGGAGGCACACAAGTGCTCCAATTAATCGCTGCACACCTAGCCGACAAAAACCCAATCTACCACCGACTACTCCAATTGACGTCACTCCATCATCCGTCGTCGACCAAAACACTAAAAGCAGAACATATGAACTAGATGCTTTGTGCAGCGTAGTGCCATCGTCGCTGCTACAGCGACGTCATCCCAACTGCTGTAGTGGCATGTGCGGCATTTGTGGTCTCTATACTTAGTTGGGAGATTTTGGGATTTTTTTTAGTCTAGGACGTATGTAATACGAGTTTATGTGATGTTTAATTAATTTAGGGTATTAATCTAATTGGGCCACTTTTTAAGAAAAAAAAAACAAATATTTCTAAATATAATTAATATTATTTTGAAATAGTAAATAACATAACTCCTGTTTGGTATGAATTAAAATTTAGATTTTAATTTAAGTCAAAGTTAACAGTTATTTTTAAATATATATTTCATCAATTTTGTAAAATTTATTAAAAATCTTATTTTAATTTCCAGCAAACATGATATTATTTTCAATAAGAATTTATTGATTTTAAGAATAACTAAAAAATTTAAACTTGCTAAATATTCACAAGGATATTTTATAGGGTATAAATGGTAAAAACTAAGAGATTATATTTGAATTGTAATACCTTAAAATTAGAACCTTGCTATAGGTATAGGATTTAAATCCAAGTATCTATCGAACACTCACATTCAAAGGCGGGAAATTTTTTCTTCAATATTTCATACACGGGCCCCACTCTCATGTGAGTTATTCAAAAGACTGTCAAAATTTTGGCAAATTGTTAAAATTATAGCTAGTATAGCCAAATTTCCGAATACAATGGCCGGTTCTACTCGAATTAAGTCATCGAAAGGTTTATTCTAGCCGAATATGTTCAAGTCAAAACATTTGCATTTCAATCACAATAATTAAATTTGTTGAAATAGTAGTACGAGTAGTTGTAGTTGGGTACCCCTAGTTTTAGCAATAGGAACCCAATCTTTTTCTAAAATAATATGCAAAGGTCTAGACTAAGCTTATATAGGGTTTTCTGTTTTTCTTTCAAATTGTACTTTGTCAATCTAGGCGAGCTTCCATTGCCGTAACCTCGTTTCTTGAAAAATGATTTAAAATTGATTAATGTACTTTTACATGTCTTTTCCATCTGCCTACATTTCTGCATGCCTTGGAGCAACCTCCTATATGCTCGCGGCACCGTTCCCTGTTCATGATTTTTTCGATATTTTTACCCCTTTTGATTCATGATCGGTTACATAATTAACTTCATGAATATTTGTGATTTTTTTGTGAAGGATTGTAACTCTCGAAAGAGTTGTTTAACATCTATAAATAGGATTGATTGGTTTCTTATTTGGCACATGAAAATATATGAAAGATAAAATTATCCTTCAACTTAGCAAGGGCGGCCACTTCTCGATATTGTGCCAATTCCAATTTTGAACTACCGCATACTTGTTTCATAGCTTTTAACTAAGCAGTAAACTCGGCGCACTGTGAACACGAATATATGTGTCATATACAATGAAAATCTTGAAATTAAGAGCCTATTTGAGAGTGATTTAAGAATTGATTTTTTGACCGTTAGGAAAAATGTGGGGCCCACCAGTGAGAGAAGAAGTCAAATATGATGGCTGAAACAGTGAAATAACGGTCAAAAAATCAATTTTTAGGAAAAAAGATCACTCTCAAACAGGCTCTAAAGAAGCCTACTCCAAAATTATGAGAAAAATATTTCTTGAATCAACAATCTTGTTTCTCTCTGGCGTGATCTTATCTAGTGCTTCGTTATCGCACGATGTAGACGCCATATTCGAGCTCCAGTATTTTTTGGAGGAGTCTTTGCTTATCATTCTATGTTATCGAAGCGTGGAAAATTATCCTCTTATGTAAGTTGTCTTAAAATCCACCGTAAAATTATTTTCGAATCTTGTGAAATATCTTAATCATTGGGTTTGTTTTGACCTTTTACATAGGTTTGTTGAAATTGT